CCTCTGCGCCCACACAAGTTATCCCTTCCCCAGAAGCAGTTGGTGCAAGGGGCGGGCAGGCGGACGGGCATTTCACCCTAATCTGAGCAGCCGGTATATTGCGGAGCGCAGCGCCCCGACGTGCGACTGCTGCTTGGGGGCACTCGGCAGGGTGGCGAGAGGAGCATGGAACCCACGGAAGCCTGGGCGCCCAGCTGGGCAAGGTAGAGAGGGTGGTGCGGCCAGGCTGCCAGTCTGCGCAGAGGCCTGGGGTGCAAGAGTGTGGCGGGCTCGTGTGTGGTGGCAGGTGAGGCCAGGCGCCTGGGGGGTTCTGAACGCAGAGGGGAGACATCTCCTCAGTAGGCTGTGGGCAGCCGCTGGAGGGATTAAAGCCAAGGTCCTGGGGCAGTTGACAGTGTCAGGTGCTTTTCACGGTGTTGGCATCTTCAGTGACCAGCGCGGACACCGTCTCCCCCTGTGGTTCCCCAGTTTCTGCTGGGGGGGAGGGGGAGACACCATGTAGAAATAGCGCCAGGGAGTTGGGTGTTGCTGAGGACAGGCAGGAAGGGCGGCTGGAGCAGAGAGATGAGGGCGAGGGCTGGTGACGGCTCTGCAGAGGACTGGAGGGGCGGGAGAAAGGGGAGGCGCAGTGTGGCCCCTGCCCCCGCGGGGACAGCTCCCCGGGAGCGGGGTGGGTGGGCGCCGGCTTCCATTACGGTGTCTCAGCTACTTCATGCTTCCTGAGTCCTCTTTTTCTTTGACTAATAGTCTGGACGCGTCACACTGGCCTCTCGTTGCAGCATCTTCCCTCCAGTGCCCGGGCAGGAGCGCGCCCCCAGGTGGGCGGGGAAGCCGTTTGAGGAGGTCCCCATCGCGCACATCAAAGCCTCCTACAACAAGTAGGTGCTGAGTCCCCTGGGGCCTCAAGGGTGGGCAGGGGAGGGTGTCTGGCCGTGGGGAGGGTGTCTGGCCGTGGGCCGGCTGCCAGTCCAGGCTCCCTCCTGGCTTGGGGCACGAGCTCTTGGGTGGGGTGGGCCCAGCCCCTGGACACGCTCCTCGGTCCCTGGGAGCTCCTGGCCCGCCCACGCGCCGCAGCCTCAGGTACTGGCCCCTCCGCAGGGTTTGCTGGCGGGGAGGGGCAGGGCGTGGGCCAGCCGAGGCGGCTCCCGGGCATTTCAGGTGAAACGCTGGGTCTGAGTTTGCTTCAGAATAGCCCCTGGGTGGGAAATGGGCAGAGACCGGCCCACACGGGACAGGAGTCCTGCCGGAGCGGGACGTCTGGTTATTTGAAACGGTCCCAGCGAGGTCTCGGTGTGAGACACCAACTTTCCTAGGGGAAAGACGCCTGGGGCGAGAGCTCAGCGGCCCCGTTTACAGAGCGGGTGTCTGGGCGGCTCAGGCACCGTAAAAGCACCAGGCCGGACTTACCTTCTCGCAGGTCTGGGGCCTGGCAGGCCAAGGTCAGGGTGCCTGCACGGTCGGGTTCCAGAAGGGCCGCTGCAGTGGGGGCCCTGGTGCCCCGCCGCAAGGGCAGCCCCTGGAGACCCCGCACCTGCTCCCGTCGTGTGGGGGAGGGCGCCGCTGAATTGGGGTCCCGGCAGAGCCCCCTTAAAGCGCATGCGTCTCGCGGGCCCTTTCCTGCCCTCCTGCGTCAGGCTGGCGTCGGCAGCAGAGCCTGCCTGGCCCACGCCCGGCGCCCCCCGCCCTGGCCAGCAGCTGCCTCCTCTCCCAGCACACAGATCCAGGTCGTTTCTGCCGAGAACCAGCCCCTTGCCCGCGCCTCCTGTGGCACAGAGGGCTTTCGGAATGCCAAGAAGGGCACCGGCATCGCCGCGCAAACAGCCGGCATCGCCGCCGCTGCGGTAAGAAGCTGCCCCCACCCCACCGGGCCCCCACCCCACCCCGGTCTGGCCTGTGCTGCTCCCTGCCAGCAGAGCTGCCCGCGGACCGCGGCCCGTGCGACCCTCGCTGTGTCCCCGACGTGGGGGGGCTATAGCCGGCCCTCGGGTGCGGGCCGGCGCTGTGGTTAGAGCACACGTGCACAGCTCGCGGGGCGTGTGTGTGGCCCCCGTCCGAGGGCCCCCGGCTCACCCATGGGGGGAAGGGCCTGTGAGGCTCAGTGCCTGGCCCTGCCCCCTCGGCCAAGGTGCTTCCGAGGGAAGGGCTCGAGCACAGGCCTGGCCTGGCGTGTGGCAGCGCCGCCTGAACGGGCAGGTGCAGCAGACGAATGGCCTGGCGCTGCCCAGGACCTCGGCAGTTCTGCAGGGCGCTGCCTCTGGAGTGAGGAACCGACAACTGCCCAGTTCCCGAGACTTGGAGGCATCAGTTCCGGGCGCCGCGCTGCGCGCACTCCCCACTAGGTGGCGCTGCTGTCCCGGCCTCGGCCGCCGGTCTGCCCGCCCTGTGCTGGCCGCCGCGTCTGCCCGCCCTGTGCTGGCCGCCGCGTCTGCCCGCCCTGTGCTGGCTGCCGCGTCTGCCCAGCGTGGCCCCTCTGCTCTGCGGGCACCGTCTCCCTGGAGCTTTAGCAGAGAGGTCGGGTGTGGGCTGCTCTTCCTGAGGCACTGACCCTGCCTGCCTTTCCCCAGAAAGCCAGAGGGAAAGGCGTGACCCACGTCCGCGTGGTGGTGAAAGGCCTGGGTCCCGGGCGCCTGGTAAGTGCAGGGGTGCAGTGAGGGGAGTGGGAGGGAGGGGCCCCGGGGGCTTAGGGGTTGCTCTTAGGAAGCAAGCCCCTGCACCAGACAGGGCCCCTGCCCTGGGCCAGGCACTGGGGAGAGGTGGGTTTGGGGGTGCCCTCAGATGAGTCTAGAGCATGTGTCCATGATCCTGGGAACCCAGACTTACTGGATACCAGCAGGACAGCCGTTCCAAAGGGGCGATGTCCGCACGGACTGTGCTAGACCAGCGGGCACTAGCAGAGGAGGGGAGGGGTGCTCCAGGCCAAGGAGACCGCGGGCTTTGCTAGTGGGTCAAAGCACCGGTTGGGGGACGGGAGGCAGCTGCCTCGGGAGGCGCCGGTGGCACTGGGGCTTGGGGGAGCCCCTCCCCGCCCCACCCTCGCAGCTTGACAGGGACGCAGTCGTCATTTGAGGACTGAACAGCACACTGTCCTCCTCCTTCCAGTCAGCCATCAAGGGACTGACCATGGGCGGCCTGGAGGTGATCTCCCTCACCGACAACACCCCCATCCCGCACAACGGCTGCCGCCCCAGGAAGGCCCGGAGGCTGTGACGGGAGGGAGCTGCAGCCCTGCAGACGCCACTCCAGCGGACCACGTCCCAGCACCGCGGGGGGTCTCCCTGCTGAGACCGGGGTCCCGTGGCAGTGAGCAGTGTGGCCTGCCTCCTGGAAGCGCCACCTCATGGCGGTTAGGGAGCCGTGGCCCACGCCCCGGCCCTAAGCGGGACTCTGTGCTCAGGGAATAAAGACGCCAAGTGTCTGAGTGGCCTGATGTCTGCGCACTTTACTCCTGAGCCGCGGCCAGTCCCCTTCCGACGCTGGGCTGGAGCCCGGGAAGGCGGCTGTGGGGGGCTCTGCCCGCTGGGCTCTCCCCAGGGGCTGCATCGGCCTCCTCAGGCCGCTCGCCTTCGTCCCGGCTTGTAATGGCCCAGGCTGGTGCCGCTGGCCCTTGCTCTCAGGGAAGAGAACCAGGCAGGCCTGCACGGTGCAGTGGGTGGGACCAGCAGCCTGCGCCCCCTCACCCCCAACCCTCGCTGCTCCCCCCATCAGATGTGCGGGCTCAGCCGGCTCAGGGGAGCCCTGGCAGCTGGCTGACGGGGCTGTGAGCAAGCAGCCTGAACGAGGGCACACGGGCAGACCTGGCCTCGCTTGCCACGCAGGTGCCGAGAGCAGGGCCAGGGGTGAGGGAAGGGGTCGTGGACGAAGGGGTGCTGGCTGCGGGGACGCACATCCCCAGTGGCAGCGTGAAAATGCAAAACTCCCACATTCTAGAAACGCCACGTGCACCCACCACCCAGCAGTGGCATCTCAGCACCAAGGGGAGCCCGTCGGGCCGGAGCCCCTTGAGGGACGGGGCGTCCAAGCTGGGGGTGCCACACTCCAGCACCTCCAGAGTTCCGGGAACCCCAGGGCTGTGACTGGCACCAAGGACGACCCCGACGGTCTCCCCGGTGACCTTGACCATGAGGCTGCTCTGGAAGGCCGCGGGCCGCCTCCCGGCTGCCCACACAGGTCCCAGGCGACTTCTAGTCCATGTGGGTCTGGACGATGGCTGCTCCGGCCATCAGCTTGAAGGGGAGCGGGGCAGGGAGTTGAGAGGTCAGGAGGCGTTAGCTCCACTGCTGCCTCACAGGGCCAACAGGTCGGTCCGTCGCCGCCTCTGGAGCTGCACCGAGGGCCCCATCCCCACTCTGACCGCAGGGGCCCTACACCCCGCTGGCACTGTGCTGCGCCCACACCAGCCCCCCCACGGCTGTGCCGCGGCAGTGACAGCGCTGGCCCTTCCGGCCTCCAGGCCGCATTTACCGCTCTGCACGCGCTGGACCGCTCCCTGGTGCCCCCCCACCCCCCGCGTCTATCTGGAGCCCCTTCCCAGAACAGTACCTGTTGCGGCCTCCTCCCCGGCCCCCCGCCCCCCTCGCTGTTCCCAGACACTCGGAGCTCTGAGGCTGCACTGTAATCCTGCTCACTGCCCCGCCCTCCACATCCTGGCAGTGTGCTAACTCGGTTGGTGCTCAGCTTGTGCCCACTGCCAGGCTGGGGCGAGGAGCTGGCTGAACTGGGGGAGGGGTGGCTAGCGCCCCTACTCCGCTTGAACCCATTTCAAAGCCACCATCGAGGTCAGGCTGCCGACGAGCTGACTGGACGTGAACATGCCCATGTTACAACATAGGGCCCGCCAGCTCCTGAGGGGACGGGCTATGCGGGCCAGCAGGCGTTGGCAGGAGCGGTGTGGGGCTCGCCGTCGGGAACCCCAGAGCCTGCCAGCCCCACCTCTCGTCACAGAACGTGCTGCACTGAGCGCGCTCCACTGTGGTCAAGAGCGCTGCCCACATGGCACCTGCCCGGCCCACACGGTGCGGATGTGAGAACACCCCACGACCCCACAAGCCCGAGCTCCCCGCCAGCGCGAGGGAAGGAAAGCGTCCTGGCGGCAAGGGCAGCTCTGTCTCCCCTGCTGGCACCCACAGCCGCACCCTCCCAACAGCAGCTGAGCCCACAGCCTCCGGCCCGGTCAGCTCCCTCCAGGGACCAGCATCGGGACACGCCGGCCAGACGAGGGCAGAGGCAGTCACGACCAGGGCACACGTCAGTAAGAAAATACCAAGGCTTTATTTCTTTTCTTATAAAGACAGCCCTGCTTGTCGCTAAGTGACAAGGACGTGCCCGGCTCGCCAGGAAGCAGGTTACCCGCTGCAGGCTGCACACCTTAATGCCAGAGAAGGGCACGGAGACGAGTGTAATGCTTTCATCTTCAGAGCAATAAAAGGAAAAACCAAACTAAGTGGCCCCGTTAATGCTGGGCACACCCACAGGCGAGAGCGCGCGGCCGTGAGGTCCGCCGGGCGCTGGGCTGCCCACAAGTGCGTGCTCCCTCGGCCAGGTCCCCAGCTCCCTGGGCTGCCCCCGACAGCGGGGTTCAGAGTCCGGACCCCACGTGCGGCACTCGGGAGGCCCAGGCCGGGCGGCGCCTACGTGCAGCTGTGCCGCATGTGGAAGTTGACGACGTACTCGGCGTTGGTCCTCTGCACGGATATGGCGAAAGGCTCGGAGGGGTGGAAGGTGAAGGCCACGAGGCGGCGCACGGTGTGGCTGACGGGCCTGCCCAGCAGGCCCGCCTGGATCTCGAACTTGAGCAGACCCGAGTCCCGGGCGTAGAACCTGAACAGGCGAGAGGGGAGGGCTCAGCTCTCGGCGCCGACCCCGCAGTCCGCACAGCAGCGCGCGAGGCAGCCCGGACCTGGGCCCAGGGAACCCCACTCTCTAGGCCCCGGGCCGCTGGTCCTTTCTCCTCTCCGAGCTGACCTGTCCTGGCGGCCCTAACTGCAGCCTCCCTGCCCGCGCGCCACCCGCCCGCCGCCTGTCAGGTAGACGGGAAACACAAGCCACGTGCGTCACTTAAACGTTCGGGGAACCACGCTAAAGAAGTGGAAAGAAAACAGTGAAACTCACTTGAGTGGTGGGTCTCACGTGACCAGCACCGGCGCCCACCAGCACCACCTCAGCCCCCACCGGAGCCCCGTCCTCCGGGGCTGTTTGGCGCTAGGCCCGCAGAGCCTCAAGTGCGGCTGACGCGGGAGCGAGCTCACTGGCGACTCTCGCTCGGGCACTCGGCGACCTCGCCGAGCGCGGCTGCACTCGCCCGTGCCTGCCGGGCCGGCTGCCAGCTCACTGTGAGCGTTCGTTTGGAAGGGTCTTCACGCGCCCAGAAATACCGCGCAGTGGCGAAGGTCCCTCTGCACACAGGGCGGAGGGGCCAGCCCCCAGCACGCACCGCAGCCCCCGGGAGGCTGCACTCGGGATCGGGAGAGGGCCACGGTCGGGCTGAGCTCGGGAGGCCGCGAGAACGAGGGGCCGGAACCAAAGCGCTCCAGGCGCTCTAGGTCAGCAAACGCGCAGGGGTAGGGATCCGCGCCCGTCGGCTCAGCGACACCCGGTATGGACTGGCATGCTCGGGACTTGGTGTCATGAGTAAGCAGTGACCTGAGGTGGCGACTGGAGAAACGCAGAAAGCCAACTGGGCCAGTAAAGGCAGATGGTCACATGACCGCTGCACCTGCCGAGGACTTGGGGTACCGGTGCTCCTCGAGTGCC